GGTCGTAAGTTGCATAGGTCGTAAGTCGATCAATACCTGTATTTAATATGATTCAGCAATCTTACTGCCAAGAATATACTCAAAAAAAGGAAATAAGTATATCAAAAAATCTCTGCACTTTTGTGTTTATCGCAGCACTATTCACAATAGCCAAGATTTGGAGGCAACCTAAGTACCCATCAACAGGGGAGTGCAGAAAGGAAATGTGGTACATATACATAATGGAGTAGCATTCAGACATCAGAATGAGATCCTGTCATTTACAACATGGATGGGCCTGGACATCATTGTGTAAGTGAAATAAGTCAGGCACAGAAAGACAGACTTCACACATTCTCACCTATTTGTGGGAGCTAGTAAGTAAAACAATTGAACTGATGGAGACAGAGAGTAGAACAATAGTAACCAGAGGCTGGGGAGGTGAGAGGGAACAGTTAATAGGTACAAAAATATAGTTAGAATGAATAAGATCTAGTATGTGATAGCACAACCGAGTGACTATATTCAAGAATAATTTATAGTATATTTTTAAATTAATAAGAGAGTATAATTGGATTATTTGTAACATAAAGGTAGCTGCTTGAGGTGATACAACCCCATTTACCCTGATGTGATTATACACTGTATGCCTGTATCAAAATATCACATGTGCCCTATAAAATATATATACCTAATATGTACCCTCAAAAATTAAAAATTAAAAAAAAGGACTACTCTAAGATTATTAAAAAGGTATTATATAAGAAGTGCAGGATGCTATATCAAATGTCATGGGAGATACCAAAGTAGCAGAGTACAAGATGCCTGCTTTCAAGTCTTTGCAGTGTGCTGGTTACTAGCACAGGAGATTATATGTCATTGTAAGGTGAGGGCAAAATATAGTTGGAAGTGAACATTCATTATACAGTAATAAATGCTACCTTGGCTTTTTTGGTCAATAAATTTGAAAATGATATTTTAGGCTGAGATAGGTAATTGTTGGAAGAAACTGAGAAAACAGGAAAAGGAAGACAGAGAGACTGCAGGAGGGTGTATCTATTCTCATATCTGAAGATATTTATGGGCTGCTTACAGGATATTTGTTTTATGTACAGTTGCAACACACCAGCAGACTCCTGCCCCTTCAAATAAGTGTTTACATTCTATGTCTTCCTGAATGCGTATCATGTACACACCTTGAAGCACTGACACAGAAAGGAAACACAACCATCTTAAACTGCTATGGTTCTTATTTATACTGTAAATTAAAATGTATAAGCTTGTTAATATACTTATACCTCAATTTATAGTTTTTCTGCATTTATACAAAACACACACACACAGACACCCCTCCAAGCTCTAATGTGATCATGAGTATCTCTTTTATCTTCATGTATGATATTTATTCAACATATAATTGGTGAACATCTTCCATGTACCAGGTACCATGAAAGGTCTCAGAATTAAATATGAAAAAGACACAGTTCTGTCTTAAGGAATTGAAAGGCTCACTTAAAAAAACAAAACATTACAATACAGAAGCTTTTGTGTTATAAATTTAGATTGCAAAACTCTACTCATGTATTCACAGATATCATACATGCAACAGTTATGTACACTTATGAAATATAAGTTGCAATCTTATCTCTATTATACATTACATACAACTTTCATTATGGCTTTTAACTAAATTATGAGGTGAAAGAAAGAAAAAGAAAGAAAGAAAAGAAAAATTTTCATCCTAGACTACATTTTGGTATATTAACATAATAGCAAGATAACTTTTTTATATTAATTCTTAATAAATATAATTGAAAATTTCTGAGAATAGAATTCTATAAAATGTCTCAAACTTTATGTTCCCACAACACTTCTATAATATTAAAAATTATTGAGGACTCCAGACAGCACTTATTCCTCTGAATTATACCTATCAAGAGTTATATGTTAGATATTACATTTTTAAATATTCATTTATTTACTTTAAAATAATTATAATAAAACTTCTGCACAGATAACATAGATGGAATTTTTTTTAATAAACACTAACTACATTTTCCAAAACAGAAAAAGAACTAGTTAGAAGAGTTTCACTGTTACACATTCTTACAAATCTTTTTAATGTCTAGAGGAACAGCAAGATCCCCATATTTGTTTCTGCATTCGACCTGTTGTGATATGTTGTCTTGGTTGAGCTGTATAAAGAGAATCCTCCAGCAGGTGTTTAGTTGGAAAATTAAAGACAACATAAACTCCCTAAAAGGGGTCTTGAGGACCCCCAAAAGACCTCCACAATACTTTGATAACTATTGATACATATGCTAAAGAACATTGTCACTTGGGTCAGTCATCATTTAGTCTTCTCCAAAAATACTTAAATATTCCAAAGAAATTCCATAAATTCTGCTTACATTCTCAGAGGATGAGAAGGAGGAGGAAAAGGAGAAAGAAGAGGAGAAGAGCTACTAGGAGGAGGGAAAGCATCAGGGAATTGAACAATTATATGAATTGGGCTTCTTGTTACTGTCATCTTTAAATATCAAAATTCCACATTTATAAAACTTAGAATTACAGAATTATAGCAATATAAGACCTTTGAGATTGTAACTTGAAAATTAACAGAATAAAATACCAATAGCAAAAGAGGCTAAAGAATTATCCCAAAAAATGGCAAAAATACACTTATAAAAAGGCTCAAGGTTTAGAAGGAGAGACCCAGCTTAAATGTAAGCAGATCTTTCTTTTCATATATGTACATACAAATATCCCTAAGTAATACACACACACACACACACACACACACACACACACACACACACACACCCTGAGAAACATCATATATATTGTCCCATCTTTACTTGTATTTATACTTGGAAAATACTTAAGTCTAATGGTATAACCAAACTACACAATTATTATAGATTAGTAACATTTCCTATCGTTTCAATTTTTTCAACAATAACTTTAAATATAATTAAAATATGTTTTATTCTGACTTCAGATCACTGAATCTCCTAAGAAAACTAATAGTATATCAAATACAGTTTAAAATTTACAACACAAACTATACAATCAATTCTCAAATATTTTATCTATACTACCCATGTTTAAAAGAAATCATAAGAACATATTTAAATGTCAACTATTCAATAAGTCGTTGTTAAAATTGTAAATAAGATAATTTACGTTATTTCTACTTAACTTTCCAGATAGTATCATAACCTTTTACTTGCAATCTTTAATGAAAATTTTAAGAGCTCTACGCATAGAGATTACTGCATTCTTTGGCATAGAAGAAAATATATCATGTTTATGAATACATATAAGATCAGAACAAAAAATTAATTTAACAAGCAGTAAGTACTCCCTAAAACAGAAAGCCCATAGCACAGTTCAAATTATTGAAGATTAAAATGCTTTAGAAATAAAAATCAAATTAAAAAATATAACTAATATGCTTATGATAAAATGAATCCATATTTAATTTTAACAGCTTAAGGACAATTTCTGTGAATTTTCAGCATAATACTGTTCCTACAAAGAATTTTTTTAATGAGGTAAAAAGAAGCTAAGTGAGAGTCAATCAGCTATAGACATGCCAGAAATCTAGAATGTTAACTCATGTAAGGTTATGATAAAGAAAACCTTCCAACAAATTGATAAAAGAAGAATTACTGATATTTGGCTCAGTAGATATAATAGCTACAACAATGTATTTCTTCCTCAACTGTCCTCTGATTTATCTTTGCATTTACAAACACTTTTGAGCATGACAGAAGAAAGAAGCAATTACAGTTTTGTTCATAATTTTTTATTTAATGATTATTCACTTATTTAACTATTTATTTAGTGCCCACTATGTGCCAAGCACTATATTAGCCAGATGTACTTTACCAAATACTAATACAAATGAGTGGTACACAGTTTGTCAAAATCCTTAATGATGTAAAGCAAGAGGATGATGAGAAGTGAATAAACCTATCAGTTGCATGTCACTGAAAATAATACTGATACATTTTAAAACCATTCCTACAAATTATTGCATTGAGATATTGAACAGACTAATAAGTCTATGTAACAGACTTCACATTGTGTCTACCAAGAAGAAGTTATGTCCATGGGGTCCTTTAGAGAACGTTATTTACTATGAGCTGCAGCCCCCAATTTATAACAGAATTCAATTAATTCTGGCTTGATGAAATCTTCTTCTAGAGGTTTTATTCAAATTTTGAGTGGACATTTTGGAAAGGAGTTATTGAACTTTCATATTGAAGAAGTCTACAGAATATAGAAAGAAAGACATGGTATAATATGCAGTCTCACATACAATGCCACACTGAGGAAGGCAAATCTGCAACCAAAAAGAAGTTTCACGAATTCTTTCACATTTCTCAGTAGTAAAGGGGTTAATCATTGAAAGAAAGCATCCTTATGTTGGTACGAGATAAAACATTTTTTAAAATATCGTTGCTATAATTATTAAATGGTTCACAATTTTAATGTGTTTTCAATTTTATAGGAATGTCATTAGTTTTATGTATTTTAGTTCCTTGTATTAAAATCAAAAAGCATCCTCCACCACATTCCTTAACATAATTAGTTCATAAGCCTCACAAGAAAAAGTCATAATATATTAAGCATTCCCTGTAAGAGGAATACTTTCTTTCTGAAAAACACGAAATGCTTACAATACAGACTCTAAAACTTGTATATGATACTAAATTCTAAACATGGATGTTGAAAATTCTTGGTCTACCCTCCAGTGAGATTAATCAGACAGAGTTCTGAGAGAAGGTGTCACTTGATACAAAGTGACGATGATGTGGAGAATGACAATCCAAAAAAGAGTAAATATGACTGCTTACCTTAAAGTGAAAGCTTGATGACAAATACACAGAAATGAAAATGACATAGCAGATGACTGGGCTGCACTGATAAGTATTTACATTTAAACGACTTTCCAAACTTCATATAAAAGCACTACTGCTAAACTATAGACTACACTAACGTTCAATTCTTACCAAAATTTCAGTATCTGTAGCTTGTTCTTGGGCCATCTGAATTGCTTTTGCCAGATCTTCTTCACCTTCTGGTATGCTAAAATTGTCATCTTGTATCTAGATCACAGAGAAAGAGAAGGATAGAAGAGTGAGCAGAAATATAAAATACTTCACTTCAGAAATAATTTTTCTTCACAAAGCAAAGGATCAAAGAAACACTTTATGTGAAACACATGTCATTCTGAACATCCATGAAAAATGAATAACAAACTGCTTTCTTCTGAATTCCTTGTAAATGTCAATAAACGTCACTTCTAATAAATTCAAGATTAGTTTGTGGGCAACTGCTTTTATCTATAATAGCAAATGTAATCTAACAATGCTGCTGAAAAAATAATAAGGCTATCTAAATGTCACCATTCTCTCCCCATCCCAGGTATTCTCCACCATCACTTTTTCATAACTACTAGCAACTGGAAATCTCTGCTTTATTAAAAAATAAAACTCACTGAGCATTAAAATCTTGAAAGGACATGATGGATTGTAATTACGTTATTAATGACAGTTAAGACTTAACACATGCTTCTGATATGCTGATCACTGGTTTAAGCCCTTTACATTTATTAACTTATTCAGAAACTTCATATGGTACATATTATCTCCATTTTACCAGTAATAAAAAGTCTGTCTCCAATGTCTGTCCCATCACTTGTTCACCCAGGCTTGCCAGGCTTATTTCCATACAGTTTCATTCACAGCCTCTGTCATCTACCAGTGACTTTATCCTCCAAGTGTCCAAAGCAATGATAGGTCTCATGGGAAAAATGAATTAAAGGAATGCTTTGAGATAGGAACCACATTAGACAGAAGTACAGTTAAGCCGGAAGGATGCATAAGGCCTGAGCTCCAACTGGGTAGTTGGAGCTACCAATTGGTAGTGGGAATCTAGGAATCCTTGCCAAGAGTGGACTGAATGACAGGAAATGCCTCCTGAACACAGATGACAGTTTATGGTAGTAATCTATAAGGCAGGCAATAAGGAGCTAAACCTAAAGGACAATTAACAGGAAAACCAAAAGAATCAGATGTATTATCCAACTTAAATGTTTAAACAGAATTTTCACATCTCATTCTTAATCAGCTCAATTCAGTTGAAAAACTATCTCTTAAGAAAAAAGAAACGGTTCTTACATGTTTCAGAAAATAAACATTTCATGAGAATGACTGCAATAAGTTTACAGAATAAATACCTAAATTAACATATTACCTCTTCATATTCACAGTCATCTTCAGATGTTTCAGTTATGGTGACCTCTGAATATCTTGTCAAGTTTTCATCTCAAAAAATATAGAATAAAATTATTATACAAAAAATTGATTTGACCTTCAAATATAGTATTGGATTCAACTGTCTCCCCAGGAAGTCAGAAAATATATATAATTTTTAAAAATGCATCTTCCCCATACAGCCTATAAATCTAGATATTTTAAAATAAAATACTTTGTTATTTTTCACAACTCAAATCCATGAAAAACTACATTTCTATCGTCTGTTTGACTATTTGCCATCTATCTAATGATTTTCAACTTGATTCTATAAAGGCTTATGAAAATATACATAGTATCATAAGGTAGCATGAATTAGAAAGAGATAACAAAAAATGGTAAATTTTTCAAATTCATCTTAAACCACAATGAATTTTTCAGAGCTCCTGAGTTAACTCTTCACAGTGCATGAATAAAGTGTGACATTATTTGGTTTAAAGTGTTGTGAATTAACAAAATAAATGCACACCAATATTTAAGTATAAGTAAAAAACACATATCAATGTTTATATCAATAAAATTTAGTTAAATTTTACTTTTCCATACATCTCTATTTTTAAATTATCTTTATAGGAAAGATAACTTAATTTTTAAGCAAATATAAAGTATACAGCTATCATAATTCAAAATTTCATAAATAGGGAAGAAATTAAATATCAATGGAAATGATTCTAACATAAAATAATTCTAAGAGAATTGCTTTAAGACTTTCAAAAATTATGTTACTCTAATTACATGAGAACTTCAAGACAATATTTTATGCTAACTCACAGCACACACCAGCAATGCTTGCTGTTATTGTTAGGTTTACATTTTTTTCAACTATACTGACTTGGTTATACCAAGTTTAAAATGTATGAATTAAACAGTAATGGTTATGAAAATCAAAGATAAGATTAGCCTATTCTTCATTTTGCTGCTGATCATAAAATGTCCCTGGTTGGGCCAGGCACAGTGGCTTACGCCTATAATCCCAGCACTTTGGGAGGCCAAGGCAGGACAATCAAGAAGTCAGGAGATCGAGACCATCCTGGCCAACATGGTGAAACCATCTCTAATAAAAATAAAAAAAAAAATAAAAAATAGCTGGGCATGGTGGCACATGCCTGTAGTCCCAACTACTTGGGAGGCTGAGGCAGGAGAATTGCTTGAACCCAGGAGACGGAGGTTGCAGTGAGTTGAGATTGTGTCATTACACTCCAGCCTGGGCGACAAGAGCGAGAGTCCATCTCAAAAAAATAAATAAATAAAATGTCTCTGGTATTATGCTTACCAAGAGTTAGTTAGCTGAAATGGTATATAACAACTTCTATTGTGTGTAACAAGAATAGGTAACACTTACAGAGTATTTAATAGGAACCAGGAACTGTTCTAAGGGTTTTCTGTGTGTTAACTAATTTCAGCCTCATCCTGTCGATGAGGCTGGAACTACAACTCCATTTTACAAATCAAGAATCAGAGGCACCAAGTTTCCACAGCTAGGACCTAACAGAGTTGGGAATAAGCCCCAGACATTTAGGTTTCACCATGTTACATTATCTCTCCATGTTCTGTATGGGTTTTCTGTGCTATGTAAATACATAAAATATTTGCCAATTATTTTCCACAGAGATCTAAGCCTATAAACGTATTATTGCTACCCAGCTCCAACATAAGTAATCATTCTTCCCTGTATTTCTTATCCCTATCCCTCGAAGATGACACTTAAGCCCTATTCTATTATGGCCAATCCTCATATATCAGGTATCTGTCAAAAGGTCAGTATTTTGTTGCCAAACATGACTAAGTGCCTCTCCTAATAACATAGTGAAAAGTAATTAGGCTCAAAAATAGCTAGTTAAATAATTAAACAACAACCACATAAAAATAGTTGCATACTTGCAGTCTACTCCATAACTTTAAATCATCTATATGAAAGACTACAAAGAGTAAAATACTTCCTTTATCATCTACTACTGCAGAACAGTTTCTAATAGTATTTACCTCACTCTCTAATTCCTTGCCATCAGCCTCTTTAAAGACCATAAAGCTTCTACTAGCAATCTGTTTAAGGTATTTTACCTTTCACTAACAAATTATTTCCAGCATCTCCTTAATCCCCAGTTCCAAAGCCATTCTGTTACTTCTTATTTAACATCTCACTCCAGATATTCATCCTGAAGGTCATGCTAAGTGAAACGTTAGATACAGACAGACAAATACTGCATAATCTCACTTATACGTGAAATCTAAAAGTCCAACTCCACCAAAACAGACATTAGAAGGGGAGTTACCCATGAATAGAGGGTAGGGAGAATGAGGGGATGTTGGTCAACATTGCACAAATGTTCAAAGAATTTATGGAGATCTAATGCATAGCACAGTAACTATGGCTAATAATAACGTACCATGTATTTGAAATTTGTAAAGAGAGATCTTAAATATTCTTACTACAAGTAATATAAAAATGGAAAGGTAACTACATGAGGTAAATATGTTAATTAGCTTGGGTGTGGTAATTATTTCACAATGCATATGTAAATAAAAATATGCTGTATACCTTGAATATATGTAATTTTGTCAATTACATCTCAATGATGAAAAAAGGAACAATAAGCACTTATGATACTCTAATTTCTGTGGGTCAAGAGCTCAGTGGTGGTTTAGCTGGTGGAATTTGACTTGGGGGGGGTCTCTCATGATGTCACAGTCAAAATGACAATAGGATTAGGGTCATCTGAAGGCTGAGATGAGGCAGCAGGATCCATTTCTATGGCAGCTCACTGACACTGTACTAGCTTGCCTGAAGACCTCAGTTTCTCCCCATGTGGGTCTCTCCACAGACTGCCTTAGCACCCTCAACATATGGTAGCTAACTACCCCCAGAATAAGCAGTACAAGAGAACAATGTGGATGCCACAATAGCTTTTCTGGCCAAACATCAGAGGACACACATCATTTCTTCAATATCTTACTGGTTACATGGGTCACCCTATTCAATGTGTGAGGATTACATAAGAGCATGACTATTAGGAGGTGGGGCTCACTGGGCGTGTATTAGTTCATTCTCATCCTGCTATAAGGAAATACCCAAGACTGGGTAATTTATAAAGCAAAGAGCTTTAATTGGCTCATAGTTCTGCATGGTTGGGGAGGCATCAGGAAACCCACAACCATAGCAGAAGGCACCTCTTCACCGGGCGCCACGAGAGAGAATGAGTAAAAGCAGGGAAAATGCCAGATACTTATAAAACCATCAGGTCTCGTTAGACTCACTCATTATCACAAGAGCAGCATGGGAGAAACCGGCCCCATGATCCAATTACCTCTACCTGGTCCTGCTCTTGACACATGGGTATTATTATAATTCAAGGTGAGAATTGGATGGAGACACAGAGCCAAACCATAACAGGTGTCATTTGATTTAAAGACTATCTTCCTTCCATACTATAAGAGTGTTAAAAGAGTTAATATATGTAAAGCATTTAGATAAGTACCTGGCTTATAGTAAATGTTAAAAGTATTTGTTGTCATTTCTTTCCTCACTCTACAAAGAGATGACTATCTATGGAAAAAAATCTCTTAAATTTCTCATGCCTCTGTTCCCCCATATGTTAAAATAAATAAAAGACAATTCTAAATTTCTCTCCAGTTATAGATTTATATCTTTCTCATAGTTTTATATAATGAGATAAAATTTCCTAAAGTTCAGCTAGAGGAAGTCAGCCTCTTTTCTATGAAAAACGATGACCCCTTCTGAGAGACAGCTACTAGAAAGTCATTTTGTAAGCAGTCACTTGTATGTCTCCAGAAAAGCAATGCCATCCTTCACCATGTTCATACCATAATAATTTCAAAAAGAAGTAAATGCTCTAAAATCTTCAGGATAGGCTTTAAAGTTGTAAATAAGCCAACCACTGATAAGATTATATGAGGAAGAGATGTCACAAGTAGATATAGAGTAGAAAAAAAGTGATTTGTCCTCAAAGCATAGAAAATATCAAACAGTACTTGTATACTCCTACCCAGCAAATACTCTAGACAATGGCTTTTTATCACTAAAATGTATTACTTTCCAACAATCAAAAAAGATTAAGGGAAAACACAACTACCATTTTATAAAACTTGAAAGTATTTTCACATGGACCAAAACTATATTTATTCTAGTAACACCACAGCGAGGTCTAACAGCACAGATATAGTCGTTTCTAAATTGAAAATGAAGAAACTGAATAAGACCTTAAAAGATTTGCCCAAGACCACATAGCTATGAATGGCAAAGATAAATTCCTGAGATACAAATGCCATGAATTTGCAGCTACATCATACTATTTCTACAGTAACACAATAGGATATGTTTTTTTAACCAATATCCCAGATAATGAACTCACCTAATTTTTTCCAAAACTCTCAAGTGTTACATTAATAAGAGGTAAATTAAATCACATAGATAACTCAATTTGAAGATCCACAGAGGAAAGATAAGTAGAAAAGAGCTACAGGCTACAGACTCAAAACGAAATCTAACCAAGGGCAAGAGATTGATGAGACAATACATCAGGTAGTGGACTAAACACTCAAACTAGAAGATACATACTTTGATTGGTTTTTATGTATCCATGATATAATTTATATTTTAAAATTCCCAGAAGTAAATCAGTTTAAATTGTGCAATGTTATTAAGGATATGAATATACTTTGACACTTATGTTTGTATGCATCTTTTTACCTGGATAGCTAGCTGGCAGCATGGACAGGTGCACAAACTGATCCTAAAGTGATTCTGTAGCAGCTTGCAAATATACACACTATACAAAATATAACAATTAATGTTGAAATTGGAGGAGAAAAGGAAATAGTATTACAGAAATAAGATAAGGATTAAGATGCAGCACATACCATAGGTTTAATAAGATTGGTTAAAAATAACCCCCAGACTTTACTCTAAGCTTCCCAGTAAACAGGGTAAAAAGGGACATGGAATCAGATGCTAATTCTGTATCAACCCA